CGTCCTTCGTCACCCGTCACCTCGCCAGATTACCTCCGCCTAACCATAACACAGCTTTTAGCTGCGAAAAAAGATAAAGAAAAAGTGCCTCAATAAAACAAGGGGGTTAGCAGCTAAGGCGGCACCTAAAAAACGAAGAGAGGGTGGAAGATGCTGTATTCGAGAGAGAGAGAGAAACTTTCGCAAGATTTCCATCTGATTAATACCTGCCGGCAAACGTCAATAACCAAGGCATCCATCAATGCATAAGAACCTTTAGCACCCTTCCCGATTCCTAAACCAGAAAAATACAATATACCCAATCCATTTTCAGCTTTAGGATTAAGACATTTCTAAGATGATACTATTTATTAAAACTACACTCAGCAAAAATTGACAACTTATATAACGATTTGGTTTAAGATACTTAGTATTTAAAATATATTGGATTAAAAATTAATTAAGAAAATTTATTATATTATCAAATTAATTAATAAATTGTATCACATTTTTAACTTAATACTGTGAAAGTAATATATTAGAAAAGTTTCGTAGTTTTTTTTTTTCATGTATGAAAAATAAAAATTTGCGATTGAAATTTGGGTAGTTATTGTTATTGATTCGACTGTTTGTTCGAATTGTTGGAACACAAGAATCGTCGATGTATACATTGGCGCTGGGAATTTTATTTTCCGCCGAGAGATCTAATTAAGGAGAAACGCATCGAGACGTATGTTATGCTTTTAGGGGGATGGCCGGACAGTGTCCGATATTTATTTGTTTACGTGCAAGGGGAGAACCGGAGCGAATGTGTATGTGTGTGTGTGTATGTGCGGGAGCGAGAAACAGGGTTGATTCTGCAGCATCGAGGGACGAAGCAGCATCATCCCCTTTGTGCGTTGGCCACTTTTTTTTTCTCTCTATCCTATCTACGATGCAAATCGCATTTCGATATTAGCCAGTTATACGTCCAATACAGGGCAATATAAATTGCCGAGCGGAATAAGAGGGCGCAAGAAAGACAAATCTGCCATCAACGGCCGAAACCCCGTATAAATGACCAGAGCCGAGGGGTGGACAGCGGAAGAAGGTGCGCAAAAAAATACACACCAAATGATCTATCAATTTCGTTTTTTCTCTCCTCTTTCTTCCTTCCCCTGGCGTTTTATTTTATTTTCATCTTTTTTTTATTTCCTAAACGGAATTCTTGCCTTCAGATTAGGCTCAACGTAAGTAAGATATTTATTTAAGTATTTAAATGGTAGATAAAATAAGAAGTTGAAACTGATTAGTTTTAAATAAATATTTTACACAAGACAATTAAAATTCTTGTAAATAATGAGAAATGGAAGATATTTCCAAATTAAATACTAAAGAAGAGTCTCAGTTTTATGTATGGAAATGTGAAATGTTATAATGAAAAAAAAGTTACCATTTCTTTTTAATTAAGATAATGTGAGTGTATTCACATGGAATTGATTGTAAATAAATATTGGACAACATACAAGAAAAATAATTTAAAAAAAATTGGGGTTGGGTGTGTACGAGAAGGGGGGTGGGTCCCGACCGTCGATAAACGAATTAAGCTTTTGTTTAGTCGGGGAGCGAATTAAAATGGCCGCGCCGTTTCTCCACCGTGGTTTATTTTCTATAACAAAAAGACAATAAGAGAGCGGGGACCGGCTGACAGCAGTATTTGTTTTACAGATGGATCTCGAAACCCAAACACAAACAAGCCGGGTGGAGCTGAGCGCGGTTAGGGAAATGTGGCTAATCCAGTTGTGAGAAATAAACGCAACGCTGACTCATCCCCCCCGTCGATCTACCGCCGCTGCCGCCTCCTATCCCATCCCAATCCTGTCCTCTCCTATCGCCCAGGACGTTCCGGGACGACCGTCGATAATTCGCTAATTAAATTCGAAAACCATGCGAATTCCCGCGAACGATCGAGCAGCCAGGACGACGCGGAGGACTAAAGAAGGGGTGGTTCGAGATAGAGTAGTATAAAAAAAAAACAATGGAAAATATGTAAAACGATGGGAATCTCGCGCTGATGGGTTTTCCGCGCGTTACAAGAAGATTCGATCATATATTTCTAAGGCATTAAAAAGTGACACACTCGACTCGGTCATGCAGAAACGTCTCGCAGCTGAGTTTTCTTCGAAGATATGGGGGGATTGGATGTGGGAATTAAAATTTTCACGGACAGACAAGGGAGGTTTTTGGATGCGATGCGTTTCGAGAGTGGAAAAGGAAGATGAATAAAATAAAGCGAGATGGAGGAGAGAGTTTTGGACCCTCTGTTTAAAAACCTCCTGCATATTGCCGTAGAGTATTTGCTGTACGTTGATTGCGCATAGATCAGAATATCCCCATGGCAACTCAGGGTGCGTTTTGGAAAAAGAGTGCAGGCGACTGTAAAAGCAATTAAATAGGGCATTGTTTACCGAAAGTGTGGCGGATTCGATATGGGAGGCAGGCAGCAGGCTTGCTTCTCGGCTGCATCGGTGGGAAGAAGAGGAGGATGAAGAACGAAGTCCAGGAAGCGAACAAACGAACGAGAGAGATCGAAAATGGGAAGAGAACGCGTATAAATATTCTCGCAGGATCGGGAGAGGAGCAGAGGCTGAGGCTCAGAGTCGAGAGCTAGCGAAAAGAGAATGAGATGAGTTTAACTCCCGTGCATCCATTTATCTAGATAACAGGAAATCCACTGCACGCATTAATAGTGCCAGTATCTGGAGAGAACACAGCATTACATCTCACTTACGATCCGGAAAGAAGAAGAGGAATAAGAAGATAGAGAGAAGTACAGAAGAGAAGAGAAGAGAAGAGAAGAGAAAAGGAACGCGTATATTTCGAAGACACGTGCAGATACATCCCCGTATCGGGAGCGAAAGCCCATCCGCCCTTAATCCTGGATCGTTTAGAGAAGAAAGGGAAAGGCGTGGACCACCTCATCATCCATCTATCCATCTATCTATACCTCGGCCGAGGTGTTTACAGCGGCGGAGGCAGCGGAGAGCCGACTCGGGGAGTGGCTGCTATTTCAAGCAGAATAAACACATGGCTGTTTTCTTTGTTCCGGCAAACTAAACAACCATCCTGGAATCCAAACAGGCCGGCCAGTCCCAAATTCAATTTAGTCTTTGCATGCCGGCTATATCGCAAAACGTCAACACCACATCATTCTAACTTCGGTTGCTCAAAGCTACACTACACTCCTCCTCGCCGCCCCCGATGCTCTCGCCGTACACATACAACATTTGTTCCAGTTCCCTGTCCCGACCATCGTCATCATCTTAACGCGGGGGGTGCGGTGTGGTGTGGTGTGGTGTTCCGAAACGATCGTATGAAAATGACTCCCTCGAAATTGAATCGGGGACTACGCGGAAAGAAAACAGAAAGGGTCAAAAATGCAACGTGTTCGAAAATTATTTGCTTACTTTCCATTCAAAGTGGATTACGGCGGATGAAAGCCTTGGGGAGAGAGAAAAGTTTGAAAGGGAATTTATCGACGGCGTCGTCTCATTTATAAAATGTATCGCGTAATTACAGGATTTACTTGATTCTTCGTCCTAATTCGCGATGCAAATTCTTTGAAATAATACCCATCCCATCCGAAGCATCACGCGCGAGAAGGCGGAGGCTGCGAGCCAAAAGCGGAAAAAGACCACCCCCGATATTCATAATGAAGCAGCGGTGGCGGGGAACGGACGCCGCCTCCGCAACTAACAACCACAATTAAACAACATCGCGAATTAAATTTGCACCCCATCGCGCGACAAAGGAGAAAAATTAAGGAAACCCGAAAAAGCCGAGCTCGCCCTTATTGAATAAATAAAAATAAAATTATATCACAACATTCAGACTTAATTGGATTCGCCCTTGGAGTTAGCGAGGGTGGCTATGCAAGAAGAAGAAAAAAAAGAAATTAAAAAGAAATTGAAGGAGAAAAATGGAATTTAAAATAAATAATACCATCCGTTTTCTTAACAAAACATTGCGATGATGATGATGATCATCATTGGTTTTTGATTAAGTCTGCGAGTCAAAGGGTGCACGTACGCACGTGATCGATACGGTATTGCATTCTCAACGTGACCATTCCGAGCACGTGTTGTATCGGCTTTTCATATAGATTCCCAGACATATTTGCGATTCATTATGGGGACGGTCGTCGGACACCCTGCCGTTGTGTTTTTTTCCTCATCCTCTTCCTCCTCCACCTCCACCTCCTCCTACTCCCAGCCATCGGAGAATATTTACTGAAGGGGGTGTTTGTGTGCATGGCTAGGGTCGCACGGCCGCCGTCCCCCATCGGATCGACGGCCAAAGTGTTAAAAATGGAATTTATGAAGCCGCTGCAGGTTTTCAAGAGAAGTTTCTGTTTTTAATTTAAAGTCTGGCGACAGTCAGTGGGACCGAGGAAGTTCACCGAATTCACATTAAATTATATTTAAAAACCGCCTTTTTAATTTCGACATTAAGCGGGAAAGGTGGAACAGAAGGCACCTGGCATTTGTTAAAAGTCCTTTAATTAAAGTACGGCGAAGAGGAAGAAGGAGACGAGGACGAACGAAAGAAGAAGAAAAAAATGTATCCGAGAGAGAGAGCAAAAGGAATGCAAAATTAGCTTCATTTCTAATTAGACGGCGCCAAATATCTTAATTTCGGAAGGGCGAGAAAAACTTTATCGAACACATCCATCAAGGACCTGAATTATAGTGAGGGGGTGCAAGGCGCGAAATCCGGCTCGCAATCATACACCGCATCTAAACACGAAGTGTCTCACTTTATATTGGGGACAGCTGGCCCCAAACTCTTTCAATTAAGATGAAAAATCCAAATGCATTAGTAACGGAAAGGGCGGTAGGGGTGCGAAAGAAAGGAACGGAAGGGTGGCGGGGATTTCTTCTGCCTTCCTTAATTTTGTTTTTTTTTTTTACTTTTCGTGCTGCTACGAGGCCCGCACAGGTCCTGATTAGAAAGGACACTCGCCCGATTTTAATGGCACTTACTTGTTCCACGTCTTCGGGTTGCACGCCATCATTTGGAGTCGTGGCTGCGGAGGGCCTTTGAGATGTCGACAGGTTGATTGCACCATCTCCATCTACGTCCTTCTCCATTTTGCCATCATCCTGCAACAAGGACGAAATGCGGCGTGAGAAAACGATGCCGATTTAATAAAACAAACAGCAATCGGTCCAGCGAGGTGATGCACAATTCGCACCCCCCACGCAAAATCCCGACGGGACCTGCTCTTGATTTTATCGCTCTCCGGACACTCGTCCATTTCAGATAAACTCCCTTTTCGCACAATCCTTAGCCTAATGCGCCTATTTTTTACGGCTGTTAGATATGGTCATTTATATATACACGCACGCAACCACTTATCCCGGGGAGTGGCACCAAAAAAAAATCAGAATAAAAAATACATTTCCCCGGAAAATATATATATATATATATATATTCGTGGGTGTATGTATGATTTGGCGTGTACTTAGAAAGGAAGCAGATAAGTTGCAGTTACAGACGCGGGTCGCTGGCGGTCATTTATCCCGTTTAAAGGATAATCTGGATAATAGGACCGAGTTATCTACTACGCGCCGCTTCTGAGTAGTAGCCCTGCGTCTACTACATTATATTAGGTATTACCGGGTCCGGCCACCCCATTCCGCACTCGTCGAGTATGCGAGAGAAAGGCCACTTAATTATATATTAACCGTAGCCCCCATCATCGCGAACACACCCTGAGAATAATAAATAACAAAGGTGCAATCGCGATATATACGTCTCCTGCATCCGAGCGTCCCGAAATAGGGGTGATTTCTCACGGAGGAAAAAGCGACACAAAAGCATTCGCATCCCCTCTTGATTATCGAAACTTTCGGCCACCCACCCCATTCAGATCGAAGTGCGGACTTATTTACAGTTACAGTTTCGTCCACCCAAATCGCACGTCATTTGTCGCGCATTTACGTAATTACGTTTTGCAGTGAGGAGGGTGAAACTAAGATCGTGCCCTCAAGGAGCCATGAATAATACAATATCACTTGTTACCCCGACTTGATTATTGTATCCCAAAATATCAATCCACGATTCATTAAGGCTCGAATGCATAAATCATTCGCGACCCGCAAACAAAATTCACGCCGCCCCCTTTTGAAACATTGCGAGAAAAACTGGGGAGGCTCATTAAAATTTCACCGTAATAAAAATTGATGAGGCGAAGGCCTTCGATTAAAAATGCAATTGGCTCTTGTTTAAACATTTTAATTGGTTCATGCCTAGGCGATGGAACAATTTAATTCCACCCCCAGTCGCATTATCTATATATGCTTCAAGGAATGAACACACCAACGAAAAATACCATCATCTGCATTTTTCTTCTTCTTCTTTATTTGATTGAGCCATCGAAGCGCCGCGACCAGTGATTTATAGCGGTTTCTTAAATCTATCCCAGCAATTTATTACTTCCATCCGCAAGGTTAGATTCCTACATTTCAACTGTTCATAATATTCAACATCACAATTTCAACAGACAATCAATTTTTACAATTTTTAAAATCAGCATCATTTCAACAATTTTGTTTATATGACATAACTATTTTTATTAAGTAAGAATAAAGTTTGATAATTTAAACAAAAATCAATATGTATTCAATAAATTGTCAAATCAGAAAAAAATTTAATTACAATTAGAAATATATTAAGATAAAAATAGAAGTTCAATGAAACGAATTTTGTATGATAGTAAATTTAATGACTTCATTTTTCTTCAATCAATACAGTTAAAATGACTTCATTTGAAATTCTGTGAGCATTTCAAATTACAAATGTAAGAAGGTAAATTACTTATTTTGGTTTTTGCTTTCGCACCATCTCCCGAGAGAATCAAACCACTTAATTTTAATTGGATCAGTTATAAAACAAAGAACTTTTTAAAAATTTAATCACTACTATTGAGTATGCAAAAAGCAATTAACTATGAAAAAAATCACATTAAAATTATTTATTATTAGTAAGTAATATTAATTAATGTGAATATTGGAATAATTATGTAATATTATGATTAAGCAAATTTTAAATCATTAAATTAGTTTTTCTTTCGGTTGAATCAATAAAGGTGTGTGTTCTATATATGTATATAGATTATTTTGCTTTGATTGGGGTATTGAAGGGTGTCTCCGAGGGTGGCGGATTTATATAATAAATATATGCGAGCCGTGAAGTGTGCGGTAATTGCGGCATCTCGAGGAGGAATAAAAATCAAATTATCAGGAATCTCCTGTATCGCGAGCGAGCGAGCCGAGGGGAAAGAGAGCGGACCTAAATTAGGGGATGATAGTATGATTATGACATTTTTTACAGGAAAATAACGCTGCGTTTTTTTAAAAATATTGCCTACGTGATAGGAATTTATAATAATGAATTTTCGCACATGCAGAGTCGAGGCTGTGGGGTGGCGGCGTTGGGGTTTTGCAGGAAAAATGAATTAAATTTTCGGCTTCGATAAATGTGTGATTTCCGAAAGAGGAGGAAAAAGAAAGCAGACGCTGCGCTGCAATTACGGAAGTGCGCCCTCGAAGTAGAAGAAGAAGAAACTGGCTTTCCGAAGAGATTAGAAATTAAAGTCAAAAACATAAATTAGAGTTCGAGGAGAAAAAGAGAAAGAGAAAGAAAGCACACGCAGAGGGAAGGAAGCAATGAAAAGATCGGATGAACCATTTACATTCATGGTAAGTCTTCGACGGGGGTTGCACGCAATTACGATTCTGGGTGGGCGCTAATTATATACGCTGAAGGAAAATTTGTTTCGAATGTATTTATCGCAACCGATGACATAATTTTGGGGGGGTTGAAAAAAAGAAAGAAGTTGATGGGAAATTTAGGTATATGGACACTTGTCCGCGACTTCTCTGCACATGGGGCGGAAGTTACGATGCAAGTTTGATTGTTTCGGTGTTATGTCGGAGCGAGACATATGGCTGAGCGGCTCAATAGTTGTTACATAACTCAGCTGGGAGGCGGCGGAGGGTTGGGGGTTTGGTTTTGCCGGGCGGCGTTTTTGTCGCGGGGGGGTGAAGAGGGCGGTAGTCGTAGTCTTGCTCTTCTATTTTGGTCTGCAAGTGTGCGGAAGACCCCACCATGGTCCGCTGTATTGGCGTAACCGGGAGGTTAGCCTAGCTCTCTGGGCCGGCCCTGGGCAGGCGTGCGCCCTAACGGTATGCAGCTCCTCGGAGGCGGCGGTGGTGGCGGCAGCGGCGGCGGCGGTAGCGATCTTTTATTTTGCCGTTTCGTAGACAAGAAAATAGAATAAAACGTGCGGCGTATGGGATGTGGTCCGCGCACGGAGCCACGGAGCCGCGGATCCGCGGATTCGTGATTGGGCGGGTCGTGGAGCTCCTCGTGCCAACCAGGTGGCGGCTGCGCGATCTTCCACCACGCCTCCAACTCGCCGGCAGCGGTCAACATCGCGACGGACCGCTCCGGGACACTTCTCGGCCGCCAACCCTTCGACCCCGTGCCAAACAACCCTCCCACAACAATGCAACTTGTACTTGCACTGTACTAACAACAGAAAACCTCCATCAAACACACACAAAAAAAAGCATATGCTTCGAATAACATGAACGAATAGGACGGGAACAAAAACTGATCACAAGACGCTATGTTACCACCCCCTTCCCGCCCATCTGAAACGATTGCAATAATTAAGGAATCGACATGTCCATCTACAAAAATCTATAGATAATTCGGCGGAGGCGCCGGGATTCAATCACTTCAATTACATTTCAAACCAAATCAATTGCAATTTATCTATTTCCAAAAAGAAAAACAAACGTGATCTTAAAGAATTTCATTCAATCAAACTTTAAAAAAAAACTAATGATCAGATTTCTTTTTATATTCAATAACTTCCAAATAAAATACACACCTTTACAAACTTACATTTTCAAATCTACATTCTTCAAAACCAACATATTTAGAAAATTGATAAAATTTTTACGAATCAATCTATTGCATTGTAATCATAATTACCAATGTGTCATAACTTTATGTAGTTTATCAGAAATAAGAACCTACATTGTATTCACTATATTTCAGTGAATATAAATGCAAAATTGACATTATATTGAATTTCACGTAACTTCCAAATAAAATACACACGTTTACAATTTACATTTTCAAATCTACATTCTTCAAAACCAACATATTTACTAAATTGATAAAATGTTGATGAATCAATCTACTACATTTTAATCATAATTACCAATGTGTCATAACTTTATGTAGTTTATCAGAAATAAGAACCTACATTGTATTCATATAATAGAAACTATATTTCAGTGAATATAAATGCGAAATTGACAAAATTTACTTTTCATAATTAAAATATTTAAAAAAAACAATAAATTGCATAATATACATAATTACATTTACTAATAATCACGTAGCTTTTCCAAATAAACTTTCCTTTCAAAATATACATTTTAAATTGCTATTTTTCAAAGCTAAGTTTTAATACTTTTTCAGAAAAAGTATTTCTATTGACAAGTGATAATTAAAAAATAAAAATTAAACTTACATTTTATAAATTGAAACATCTGAATCAGAACTTTAACAAAATATTTTATTTATTTTTTTGTCATTTACTAGAATATTTAATAAATTTATAATAAGTTTACAAAATTGTAAATAAATTACTGTTCGAATATTTTTTTCAATACTTTATAATATGTTCATGTACTAAAAAGTAAATAAAATTAAAACCTAGAATATTCTATATGACAAATTTGGTAAAATTATTTTAAAAAAACTTTCTTAAAATAAATGAATTTAAAAGTTTATGAATACTCATTGTCACCTTCATTTTTTTTTATTGATATTTCGCTGCTTCACTAAAACCAATTCTGGAGATAAATCACTTAAATGACGTTTAAAGCCGCACTCGGCCAAATCAATTACGATTGCTCCCGTCTCCTATTTGAATCCAAAACGGAAAAACAGCCACGTGCTGGAAAGGAAAGGAAAAGAAAAGGGAACGAGCGGACTTAAATCAATCACTCCTCGAACTTTCAATAAACTAATGAACGCCGCTCCGGGGCGAATTTTTAAACAACCCTTTCATTAAACC